CATGGAAAAATTGGTGCAAATGTACAATTAATATTTACTAAATTATTAAAAAGGTTTCATAATACAGAGTATTAGAATAATAGAAAATATCTGAAAATTTCCCAAGAATATGAAACAATTTATTTTTTTAAATGCAACTGAATGTTTTTTTTTTCCTTTCAAAAATGTATGCTCATGTACAAATATGCTATCATATTTATAATATTGTCTTTCCAATTATTCAAAGGTTGTTATTAATATTTATTACATAGTATGTTCAAAAATTGGGCAATATACATAGCCAACTATATTATGCTCCTCATCTTTGTACATTTGTTCACAATGAAAATTAACCATCGGTCAGTAACAAAATAACAGTTTCATAATACTCTTAATGTAAAAATCAAATCAAACTTAAATAACAACAATAGTAACACCAAAATCATAACTTCCTTCTTATATTTTACCAATAAACCTTTCAAGCTTTGCTAACTCTTGGTGCAAAAAACACTGGTCACTTTCATCAAAGGGTCGGTTTAAAGCACTTCAAATATGAAGCAAATTTTTTTTACGACTGATTTATTTATTTTTAATGATTGATAATTTAAAAAAAAAAAGAGGCCCATGGGCCACATCGCTCACCTGAGCACTGTGGCTAGGAAAAAGTAAAAATGGGTTTATTATTGAAAAGTTTAAATCCAAAAGTAGTCCCATGATCAATCATGGCTTTGCTTTTCTTGAGAAAGTTATTTTTAAAGATTTTTCCAATATATTTCTATGTAAAACTTTGATCTTCCATTGTGGGGGCCCTACCCCGGGGATCATGATTTGAACAAACTTGAATCTACACTACCTGAGGATGCTTCCATATAAATAGGATCAATTATGGCATTGTCATTCTTGAGAAGAAGATTTTTAAAGAATTTTCCTATATATTATTCTATGTTAAACTTTGGTCAGACATTGTGGCCCCACTCTACCCCCAGGGGTCATGATTTGAACAAACTTCAATCTACACTACCTAAGGATGTTTCCCCATAAGTTTCATCTTTCCTGGAACAGTGGTTCTTGAGAACAAGATTTTTAAAATATACCATCAAATTTTCATTAATTCCCAATTATCTCCCCTTGAATGAGGGCATGGCCCTTCATTTGAACAAACTTGAACTCCCCTTTACCCAAGGATGCTTTGTGGCAAGTTTTGTTGAAATTGGTCCATGGGTTCTTGAGAAGAAGTCGAAAATATGAAAAGTTTACAGACAGACAGATGGACAGACAGACGGACAGACAGCTAGATAGACGGACGCCGGACAAAATGTGATCAGAAAAGAGCTAAAAATGAAACATTCCTCACCACAAAAGCCAGAAGAATATAGGGACCACCACCAGTAACATGTTTCTGGGAAGAACCAAAGCCATAAGAGAATCCATGCAGAGATAAATATCAATAGTCCTGAAGCTTCGATGCAGGACCAAGTACGAGAATTGCTACAAACAATACTCCGGAGACTTACCTATTATCCTATGATGTAACGTGCTTTGTCCACTGCGGCTGGTTCCCTCATAAGCTAGTACCGAGGACAGTTCAGGATGTCCTGTCAACTTTATTCCTCAACTTCCTGTCTTGGACTGAAAAGCAATAAGTGGAAATCTTTAGTGTTGCCTAGTGAATTTGCACTAAAAAGAAAGTTGCAAGATTGTGAAGGGGGGGGGGTATTGATGCTGTGCATTTTAATTAAATGTACGAAATCTGTATTTCACAGTTTAATGCATTCATGTATTTTGTGAATTGTCTTACATGTAATAATTGTTGCTATGTATTATGTAAGGGATGAATAACGAGATGGTGTTGAACAGTTTAGAGAAAACATTCTCTCCGAGGGCCGAAGGCCCGAGGAGGGGATGTTTTCTCTAAACTATTCAACACTATCGAGTTATTTATCTTACTTAAAAAAATTCCCTACCTTTGGCCCCAAAGAAACATTTCCCCTTTCAAATATCCAACTTGCTGTAATACAATAGGATGTAACCCATTCAAATATCCAACCTTGACACAAAACAATAGCCCAATCGAACACTCCTTTTATTCATGGACTAGTGAGCATGAAACTACATGGTGCTGATTTCATTTTAACCCTTTTCATTGTACTGAACAGTCATGAAATCAGACGAAGAATATTTTTAAATCTAATGTAAATTAGAGAGGTTCAGATAGTGTTTTGAATACTTTTGATCTGAAAGCTGAAGAAAACTACAGACTTTTTATAAAAGGTTGGGAATTTGTCATTACATATTACAAGATGATGGTTTGTTGAGGAAAAGCGTTGAATTCTTATGGAGTTCCATTCGGACAATACTTGTAATAGTGCTTACAAAACAGATAAAAAGATTGGCGGTGTTATGCTGAACCTGCTATAAAAAATTCCATATCAAGATCTGCAATCAAAATGGTGTCAAAAAATAGATGGGCTGTCAATTATTTAAGTTCTTTTGGGAAATATGCCGGAAAAGAATGAAACAGAGATGAATATCAGATAATCTGAAGGGATTTACTGATAACGGACCCTGAAATAATATTTAGCTATAAGAAGTGATGCAGTTAAAGATTCAAGGTGAAAATATATTTATGTGTTAAAAAGTGATGCTTTCAAGATTAAGACCAAAAATTTCGAAAAGTGTGAAAAATTCGGAGGAATTGTTATTTCTGTGAGCATTGGAAGTGCATTTGAAACACAATAAATGTAATAAATGTGGAGTTATTACGGTAATTCCGTGTGCACTGGAAATTAATTCTAATAGTGTGGCAAATTTGGAGTAATTATTTTTCATACGAATTGGAAATACATTTTAAAATTGTTTTATCTCTTTTGTTCATTGTTTTGTTTTCTGCACCTCAGTTGGGTATTTAAATATCCAACCGTTAGGCAGTTGGATATTTTGAATATCCAACTGATGGCCAGTTGGATCTTCAAATATCCAACTGGTGCTGGTTGAATTGGTAAAATATACGTAGACTAATAACAATGGGTGACGTCATAGAAGTTTTTTAATAAGCACTAAATCTATTCAACTGCATGTGTAAATGGGGAAAATGTGGATTTGTAAATGATGTATAATTGCAATGTGTAAAATTTATCTTGATAAAATTATTTCAATTATTATCATTTTACAAACAGCGTGACAGTTTGCTTGATGGGGCGTGCTAAAATTTTGTGTGCTGGTTATCATTTTACTCATCGATTGGATCAATGAAATCAATACTAATTTTCATATGAAACTCGGAATACAACAATACCCCGATAATACTGGCCAATCAAATTGAATGGTTCTTTTCCAGTACAGTATTTGTAGTAAGGAGCAACACGTGGTCAGTCAAAGCCCGTTATCTGTCCCAAAAAACATATATTATATTTGTTGTGATTTGACCGGATGGGTTTTTGAATACGTATAATATGTATAAGAAAATTTAAAGAATGGAATTAGTAAGGCTACTCAGCTACTGTTGTACCCGGTACTATGTAGCGTACGAAATTCAGAGACGTATTACGCCTGGATTTTTTGCAAATCCTGGCGTACAAGAGACGTATTCTTAAAAATACGGTTCATTTTCAGGCGTACACGTATTTTTGCCAGAAATACGTCTCCTTTTTTCCAGGCGTAAATTCTAAATCCGGGCGTATTTTCTACTTAGTCTCTTTGGCACAAGGAAATTAAAACTTAGAAAATTTCAAAAGGCGTATTTTTTAAAATTCGGGTGGATTTTTCAACTTAGCCAAAAAAACTTAGTCAACTCATTCTCTTTTTTTTTAAAGTATTGAGTTGCATAAGAAACATTTTTATTATATTATATAACTTAAACAAAAAAAAAACAAAGTATTGCATGATTGTATACATTACAATATTGCATTTAGTTTGTTGTATTAAATATCAAAACAATTTTTTTCATAAATTAAACTGATTTTTTCTTTTAGAACTTTTTTTTTAGAACATTATCCCATGGACCTAAAATTTTGTCATTCCCATTTTTAAAAAAAATTGATATTATTTTTTTTAACACAAATGATTTCTATAACTGTAAAGTAGATAGTATATTCTTTGAACTTCATGATTAATTGTTTAGTCAGGCTATAAACATACATGTTATTACAATTAAATGTTTTTCTTATAAAATGATTTATATTTGGTATATTTAGATACTCTGTTACATTACCATCAACTTTCACTTCCCTAGCCTAACCTGCTGGGATTGTGCTAATTACTTACAGATGTGTTGAGCATGTTTAGGAACGACTTATCTGTGATGTTGTAAACCTAAGAACGGCTTATCAATTTATATCCGGTTTGTGTACAGCAGTTCTATTTCCCACCCTAGTATCTTTTTAATTCATATAATGAATACACCTTGTTTATACATTGATGGAATTTTATTTTTATGTTCTAGCTGTAAACAAAACAGCATTTTTCTTCAAAATTACAAATTGTACTGAGTAGAACTTCCAGAAATCATAAAAGAGTTTAGCTAACTAGGGGGTTGTAAATAACAGCATCTGCATCCAAGTATTTGCGCCAATTTTAAACCACCAGGCAGGTCATGCCAAGAACAATGAGATTAGAGAAAGCCACAACAAAGCACAGATGGTGTAGAAGAGGTAAATATTTTGAAAACATAGCTTAACATTGAAACTTTTTATCTATGAAAATAAAAGACAGCTGCATTTGCTTTTGATTTGCAGAGCCAGATGTTAATGATTGAAAATTGGGTCAGTAGTATTTTGAATTACATAAATTATTCTTTTTCCAGAAAATGATTTACATCTAAATCCTTATCACAGTTGGAAAATTGATTGAATGATGAAATGGTCATAAGAGGAGGAGAAAAGATCTTGCAATATTAAGAGTTGACCAGCAGCATAGCTTTCCATAAATGCAATAATGCCAGTGAACTGTAGCCATTGGAAGATTGCATCAGGAAGAAGATGACCGTTTGCAATGCCAGTTATAAAGCATTCAAACTTCTTTTTGTGAATATTTCAATCTATGAAAATGTGATTGGGAAATGTGATGTGAAACGTGAATGACAGAACTGCTTGTGATTTGCATCTTTTATGCCAATTTAGGAGTAAAAAGAATGGCAGGATTACTCGGCATGATTCTCAAAACTGTGATTCACTGTGATTATTGGAATGTTTCAACTGTTTACTATAAAACTCAGCCTTGGATGTTAAAATGCTGTGAAACGGTCAATATATTCTAACATGTAACTGTGCTTTGAAAAAGTAAATGTAAGATTATGATTTTTTAAATTTTAATGACAATCCTTTACTAATGAATCTCATTCACATTTTATCACACTGAAAAATATTAAGAAAATAAAAGTGATGTATGCTTAGCTTAATTTGTCTAATCTTTTTTAGCATATGTAGTCAAAAATATTTGTACTAAAGTCGATTGTACATTTATATTCATGCTATAGTTGTAGCTCCCATTGCTGTAATATAATTAATATTTAATTCAAATCTATTTAAAGCAGGCGTATTTTTTGTACAGGCGTATTTTTTTGTACGGGCGTATTCTTTTATACGGGCGTATTTATTTTGCAGGCGTATTTTTAAGGGTATGCTTGAAATCTAGGCGTAATTCTATTTTTAAAATTTCCAGACGTATTTTGAATTTCCAGGCGTACTCATTTGCATATTTCGGCCAAAAATACGGGAGGATTACGCCTCGTGTACGCCTGTATTTTACATTATACGCCTGGTTTTATATATTCATTTCAATAGAGATTTCCACAAGGATTTTTAGATTAAAATACGCCTGGATTTTTTAAAAAATACATGACTTAAATTTCGTACTGAGTTCATTTTGATTGGCTATCTCCTTGCATAAGACCTTTAAGGGGTAATTTTATGCTATTTACCATGTGCACTGATTGCCATAAAACATAAGGAAAAATACCAGCCTTACAATTCACTTGACCTTGACCTTTGACATACTTTACTAAGAATACCCTGGACAATTTGGTTTAACTTAAGACTTTTGAATTTTTAGTGGCAGGTTTTGATAAATTAACCATTTAATATACTTATGAGCTCATAAAACTGTTCTTTAAAACTGTATGATATAGAGTGTAAAAACTTTGAAACATGTTTGGAAAGTACATTTGTATTTTCGCACATGTGATATGGGATAATATCACCACAGAAAGATCAAAGAAAATCACCGCAGATATGCGACAATAATTTTTATAATTGTTTATTGCTTGTCAAGAATATGATACAGGCGCGGATCCAGGATTTGGAGTTAGGTAGGTAAAATTTTTCTCAGTGTCAACTACTTTCAGTACCAATTCTAATACTACATTTTCGGTACATGACTAAAAGTCTAAAAGTGGTGTGTGTGTGTGTGTGTGGGTGGGGGGGCAAACCAGGGTTTCAATTAACATTGGCAACCAGGGTTTCAATTAACATTTCCTATAGTATAAGTAAGGTTGCTACGCCCCTGCAATACATTTACTATAAAAACAATTGGACAAATTTGTGAATGACAATAATCAATGATGCATGGCAATTAATCTTTTCCTGAAAGCCACCTTCTCCTAAAAATTTGTCGTGTTATTTATTTATTTATTTATTTATTTATTTATTGCAAAGTCGTCCCTGGACTAGTGCTACGGTCATTGTGCCAATTTCGAACCCTGCGTGGTGAGAGTTTGTCCCGAGACACTGTTAGATTATTTTAACTAGCGCCTATATAAAATAAATCATACCGATTAATCAACATCACTACAAATGTACAATATGAGGACCTAAAAATAGGATAAAACATTCTCCAGTCTGCAAGCAATTAGCCATTAAATTGCTTTTGATGTCGTGTGTTAAAATACCTTCAAACAAATCAAATTAATGTTCTTGATTCCCACTTTTCACGTTATGATTGACTTAGTGCTTCGTGATACCAAAACAATACATTTTCACAATACTGTTTTACTATAGTATTACCTATAATTTTGACTTTAGGTTTAATTCGCCAATTTCATATTTGCAAAGCTGTGTTCATCACGATGTCGATCACCGCTTCGGCTACTTTCGTTATTTCTAACCAATGAAAATTGTCCTTACTTTTCCGTTGCGTCATGCAATATTATTGCACGCATCACTAAATTGTAGAACACACATCACAAGATTTCGAATATACATCACAAGATTATCGAACACACATCACAAGATTTCGAATATACATCACAAGATTTCGAATACACATCACAAGATTATAGAATATACATCACAAGATTTCGAATATACATCACAAGATTTCGAACATACATCACAAGATTATAGAATATACATCACAAGATTTCGAATATACATCACAAGATTTCGAACATACATCACAAGATTATAGAATATACATCACAGGATTTTGAACATACATCACAAGATTATAGAATATACATCACAAGTTTTTGAATATACATCACAAGATACTGAACATACATCACAAGATTTTGAATATACATCACAAGATTTTGAATATACATCACAAGATTTCGAACATACATCACAAGATTTTGAATATACATCACAAGATTTCGAACATACATCACAAGATTTGAGAGAACATACATCACAAGATTTTGAATATACATCACAAGATTATCGAATATAGCAACGTTTGACATGCCATACTTAAGTTAATGAAATCGTAGGTTAAAAATTTTTGATATCAAATACTTGATTGCAAATAAACTGGCACGTCAAGTGTTTCCATCCATCGGATCATCCATCTCTTTCTGGCGACCGAAATTTAATCATCGATCTTCGGCCGTGTTTCTTGTGTCTTTTGAGCATTGATTATCGATTTTCACGAATAGAAATATTCCCAGACAACAATATGTTCACTATTACTGATCACAAGAAGCCTTTCACAGAATAGTCCCTTAGAAATAATCCTAAGCCTAATGAATTCGAAGCGTAACCGCCATTCAAGCCGATTTACACCTTGGGTCATTTTTTTTTTAAAATCTACGACGGACGGTTAGTGCAATAATTTATATTCAAAAATACTCAATCGTCTGTCTCAAATGTATATAAGGCCTTCGGCCTTCACAGGATTTGATCACGTGACCGACCCACTTCAATTCCCATTGAAGTTTATAAAGTTGTTATTTATTTCTTAAATAAAACTGATCATGACGGGTGTGTGTACTTGATCTCGCTGCACTGAGAATTCAAACACTACGTCTATGACGTCACTGACGTCAGACTGCAGGGTAAAGAGAAACAAATGTGTAGATTGGGCAACTTCACAATATCTAAATGATGGCAAGATCTTTAAAAAAATTATTAATAATACTTTCTAAAATTAAATGTTAAAAAAAAATTTTAGAATTTAGAATAAAATTACACAAGAACTGTTGATTTTGAACATGTATATCATCACCGATTATGACGTGATATGTCTTTTTAATCATGTGACATGTGTCCTGTCTCCCCTTAAAGGCCGGATCTGACCTAGATGAATATCCACACGGACAGCAATTAAGCATATTAGGGAGCTGGTCACACCTCCCAACAGATAAGACTGCAGAGTGAAGCTATAAATAGATACCTGCATAGAACATACACGTGTTACACAGAAAGTAGAGATAAAACTCTGCACATGGTTTCACTATTTATTTCTCCGCTTTGAGTACACTTGTTTAATATAGCGCATCCATATTTTATTTCTAAAATAAATGTTTTCTTTTTATAGTTCTTTTTTCCCTTTAGTCCTCTAGGGGCCTTTGGGTCAGCCTTGAATGAAGTAGAAGTATGTTCTCTGTTTACATTTTCATTCCAATGCAAAGTCCCAAGGAAAGCACGCACTTTATATTGTTCACTTCCAAATGCTATTCGTTTGTCTTGATATATATTTAATGTATTATTGAAACTCTCCACAAAGTACGTATCTCTTCCTAAATTAAAATGGTCTGGATTCTTATAAATAGTTGAATTTATTATAACACTTCTGAGTAATTTTACTGCCACTGGATTTTCAATTACAACCTTTGAAGGTTCATAATTTGGATCTCCTTTACACCTAGAGCTGGGTGACATTGTTTGTGGCTGTTCTGGTAATGGTCCACAATATTGTCCAACAGAGTTCACTGTAAGAAATGTGTTTAGAATTCAAACACTTTTTCGTCACCTTCTTTTTTTCTATGTTTAATTCCTAAACATGTTTAATTTCTAACACGTATGAGAAAGTGTTTAGAATGGAAGCACATAAGTGTTTAGATTCTAAACATGTTTAGAAATTTTACATGTTTAGGATTTAAACATATAAAAAAGAAGGTGACAAAAAAGTGCTTAGAAAAGTGTTTGAATTTTAAACACATTTCTTAATTATGTGCTTAGAAATTAATCATATCTAGATTTAACATATTAAAACAAGTGTACTGCAGAAAAACTATATATACTTGTAAAATTTGGCACAAAGAGCATATTACTTAATACATATAATATTATTATCAAAATTTTCAAAATATTAACCGATATAAATTATTCATCATAAGGCCTCTGATTGTTTAGATATGTAGATACTTTAATTGTGGGATATTCTTTTCACACAAATTAATTTTTTTGGTCTTTATAAATTCAATCAGCATGACATACATTTTATAACGCAGTGATGAGCAACAAAAATAAAATAAGCTAGCAATTTTATATCAAAACTTCCTTAATCTTTTTAATAATGCTTTATCAAAGATATTTCAATCAAAATTATAAAATATTTATTTTACATAATATTTTGTATATGATTAAATACAGTTTCAATCGGTTGCAGAGTGTTCCATATGTCAGTCATCAAAATGTCAAACTTGATTCACTTTCAGCAGTCCTAAAGCACTACATAGCACCACATGATATAATATCCCGTCAGTAACTGCCGAAAAGTAATAAATCCATTTCAAATGCACAAGGATAATCAAAAATGATAATTTTAGGTACATGTATTCAAATCCGCCGAACATTGTCATATTAGGGGTAACCCAATGCACTTCATAAAAATACATTTGTTAGTTTTGATCATAAAAAAAATTAGCACTTGAAGATGACGCCATGCAGGTACTTTGATACATGTATGCATGCTTTGAGTTCGATCCCGACTACTCGCATAGCCTGTAGGAAAGAAAGTAAGATTTAAGTGAAAGCACTATATGCTGCCCATTGAAGATGACATCAATTTTTCAAGTGCATTGAAACTATATTTATATTAAAATAGTTATTTTTAATGAAATTCAATATAAACTCCTCTCAGGACTACAAGTCTATAAACGACCTCAAGGCACTGTTTACATTGCTCATCGTGGTTTAATAATGCAAATCGTAATGAAAAAGAAAACATACCTTTAAT